ATTATTATTATTATTATTATTATTATTATTAATTATTATTATTATTATTATTATTGTTGTTGTTGTTTACTATCTTAAATTTCTGATATGATTCATTTCTATTGTTAGAATTTAACAATTCCTTTTGTTTATAGGCATTTATAAGTGTCACTTTCTTTTTATACTCTACGTCTACACATCTACACTCATTTCCTCATTCCCGTTATCGGACAATCATTTTTGACAACATTTTGCGTTCATGGCATGTAGTAGTAAAGTTTGTTGATTGAAGAATTGCTTGATAACACATAGTTTTTAGTTCCATTGGGTAATTGCCAATATAAAGATGAATGAGAGAAAGTTTAGAAATTTATTCGATTCTTCAATCTTGGCATGCAAAAATTTTTTAAAAAAAAGCGGACGTAAAATATGAAGAAAGTTAATTAACGAAATACACTTTAGGTATGGAAGGTGTTGTGGAGTTTCATAAAATGAGCTTTTGAGATTGAAATATTTTGGATAGTAATATCATTCTTGAAAATTTTGCAAAAGATTGGTTTGAATTTTATCAAGCAATCTCTTGATAAATACTTTTGGACGTTCATTTTTAAAGCAAATAAGCGTAAAGTCTTATCAATATGGAGATGATTAAATCACTGATAAATGTTTTTGTGCTAAAAAGAAATTGATGGAATTTCGTAAATGAACTCTCATTGTTTGTTCATCTGAAAACCTTTTGTCCTGTGCATTTTCGTTTAATTGTTGATTTGGATCAAAATAACAATAATGCTACTTGAATTCGTAGAGATAATCCTTCTGACTATTAATTTTGACCTTATCGATAATGGTTTCTTTCGTATAATATGCATCGTAAGAATTGTTGGTAATGAAAAATCGTAACTAGAAATGACGGTGAATTAAGAGAAACACTTAAGTATTTCTTGAAGAAACGATAAAATATGTCGGAAAGTTTAGTTTAAATTTGAAATGAACAAAAATTATTTGGAGGGAAAATAATAGCCACTGTATTGAAATTTAAACTAAAAATACAAAGATTTTTTTTAATGAGTCAGTTTTTTATTCGATAATACGCCTAAAAAATTCATTAAGCTTTTGTACATTTCTTCATATTCTGATTAATATAAGCTGAAGAATCATCCCTAAAATTATATGCATGATAACGATAAATCAATTAGTTTAGATCTTTTGCAAAAATAATTGCTTCATCAGCTGTTATCGAAAATTATCACAAAACTTTTTAGCATTTCTATCTATGATCGCAAATATTTTTTTCTTATTAATCTTTCCCAAAAATACAGCTATGAGTTATCAAAATGCTACCAAACCAATATTAGAATTGGTATTTGAAATCAATGAAAACCCAAAGTGTGCTGTCGCATCTGTTACCTTCCTTGTATGAAACAGTATTGACAGTCATTGGAATCATATCAATTGATGCAAACTTAATATCAGAGATGGAATTAATCAAAATTTTCCTTATACCAGTAACCACGAAATGAATCAGTTGTTATCCAGATTAGTAATTTGATAATGGTGAAAAAAAAAGTGATTACTAGCAATGATGAGTAATGAGACAGGTGGGTGATGGGCAAATGATTTTCAAAAATAAAAATGCAAGAAAAATAAAACGAAAAAATAAAAAAAAAACCAAACAACTGGAAAACGAAACAAAACGAAGTATTAAAAAAACAAAATGAATGGAAAATGAAACGAAAAATAAAAAGCAAAGTAACAGAAAAAAAACAATAAAAAATCAGCTGAACATTTCGTAAACTGTTCTGTAATTTGAAAGATTTCCTGTCATTTAGAAGTAAAAAAATGAGAACTGAATATCAACAAGTGTCAGTAAATTGTGACTTTCGGTGTTTCAATATGGCAATAACATGTGCATTGTATCTAATAAAAGTAAACAATCATTTCAGCGTCATTATATTGCCACTAGTATCGATCACTATAAATGGCTCTGATACTACTGTCCATAGAACAGTTGACCATGAAAATAACTGAACAAAAATTGTTACAATTTGATTTCAGTAAAAGTTAAAATAAACAAAATGAAAGCAAATAAAACAGATTGCGCCTTCTCTAAGTACAACTTTAAATGTAGCACTTGAAATAGCGTAATTTTAAAACTTTGTCTAGAATATTCGATTGGTTATACAAACGACGTAATTAAGCAACGTAAATATAACAACAAAAATAAGAAGCGTTAAGATTAACATAGCAGTATGCGGAAGTATATCTTGAATGTTTTCTAAGATTATATAAAAAAGAGAAGATTACCCTGTTCGAATATAACAGCCGATGACAATCCGAAATATTGTACTTCCTGATTCGTAAATGATGAAATATGGAAAAATTTTTGAGAATCAATTGGCTATGGAAAACAGCAAATGTTTTAAATTTAATATTAAATTTGAAATAGTAGTTTAGAGAAGGTAAAAATGTACAGATGAAAATTTATCAAATTGTTTATGATAAACATAATCAATGTCCTGAATTTATTATGGATATCTTTCTAAAAATCAACAAATATTGATGGAAATTTTCGAAATCTGAAACGAATAGGAATACAAATGCATTGCCAAATTTAAATCTTTCATGTTGAAGAGCAATTGCAATAAATTTTTCAGAGCAAAACTTTTAAATTGCAAATGGTGCGACAATTATGAGGAAAAGAATTTGCACTGCATATTGCAGCAAAGAAGACAAATCTTTGTAGAGCAAAAAATGAAATTCAATTACATTTCACAGTGGGTAATGTTTAGCTGATGAAATCAAAAATTTTTCATCAAATCATTTTCTTTTCTTCTCCTCATGAGAAGGAAAAATGTTTCTTTTTCTTCTGTTCCATTACAGCAAAGAATGAACAGTTAATGACATTGGAGTCATTTGCAAAAGTATCAATGTGAACTTCAAAAACGACAATGAGAAAGAAGAAATGTGCGACTAAAGATTATCATGACAACGTGATGATAATGAATGTAGTATTGTGCGCTGATAATCGAATAATTAATTGTTGAAAATTACTTTTCGTTTTGTCGTTATGAAATATTTCGCAGATGTTACAAGTTAATATTGACCCATATTAATTTCGATTATTAAATACTAAAAAAAGGAAAGAATGATACATTACAAGTGAAGAAATTTTAATTACTAAGTGATTTGTGATGATAAAGAAAAAATTTGCTAATGAAAAAAGAATGTGTCGAGAAAAAAAAAACAGACAGCTGATAGATTTTAGTGATGTGATACTTTTAGCTAGAGTTTGTCGTATGTTGTTATTAAATTTTTGCTATCATCATTAACCGTTCTTTTAAATTGTCCACACTAATCTTTTCTTGCATTGCTCATTTATGAAATTTCATATTTACTGTAATTTGAGCAGCGACAAACAGTTGCCATCTATTGCAAAAGTAAAATATTTGTTGATGGAAAACGAGATCACAGATTCCATCAAAAGTACACTTAGAAAAAATTAGATGTGACGAAAACTGGAGAATTTCTGTATAAAATTAATCACTAAAATTGTGAGATTAAAACGATATTTGACAAAAAAATGTAAGATCGCATCAATTTCTATGATTAGAAAAGTAGTTAAGAAAAAAAAATGAATGAAATAAGATGATTGGATATTAAGATTCGAAATGAAATAAGAGATGAATGTAATTGAATTTTTAATGTAATTCACGAAGAATAATAAAATTTTTTAACACCAAAAAGAGATCATTTGAAAATTCTTTAAGATTGACAACTTCAAAGAAAATGAATTAACTGTTTGGAAAATTAATAATATGAATAGGTAAGAAATATACTGGTGAATCTGGGAGAAAGGAGAAAAAGCGGTATAAATCAAAAAATAATAATTGAACCAGTATGCTTCATTAGATATAACGAAATATTATACCACCCTGTATGAATAAGCATTTTATTTTTTAAAAGGATAAT